ATACACTGCTGTGTCCTGTGTCCTCCGCCGCATCCTGTCTGCCGATCAAAAGGTGTTAAATTCAGTTGTTCCTCAGCGCACAAAGAACCACAAAAAAAAAGCCCAAAGACATGCAACGAGCCAAGCAGGACACTGGAAAAGTCTGTGGCTGTTGTCTACCAACTGTTTGATACCCTCAGGCAGAGCTTTGCTCCTGCAAACACCCTAGGAAAGCTTTTAAATATGTTTTTCGCCTCTGCCTTTTGGCTTCGTTTATTTTCTGGAATACAGGGTACAGTACTGGGGCCAGGCAACAGGATACAGTGGGGAAAACAGTGGGGACTTTGACGAGTTTCATTTGCGATCAATTTGATCGTCCATCGATCGTCCATCGATCGGCCATCCATTGGTCTCGACATCTGTCAGCACAGATTTAAATTCATTTCTCACTTTCTCCAGCTCTCAATTAAATTCGCTGCCACAGCTCTCTCGATTTCGCTGATTCTCCATTAAAATGTTGCAGCTGAAGTTGCAGCTGTCGTCTTGCAATTGTTTGACTCAATATTTCAGCTTCTTGGCAGTTTCATTTTAAATAAATAAAGGCAACTTTTCTGCCAGAGTAAGATTGCTCGTGTGTGTGCGTATATCGGGTGCCTCAAGTTACAAATAAAACGCAACCAAAATGAGCTTAAGAGCTTATGGAACGCTAAACAAACAGCGGAGCTCAGAAAGCCGCGACGCTGACGCTGATGCACACACATACACTCATACATAGGTATGTGGATTTGTTATGGCTTGGTCCTGGTCCTCGCTTGTGGCTTACAGCTCCTTGGCTGATTCCTCCTTTGACTAGTCGCTGGCTTGAAAGGGAATCGCTTTCGCCTTTTATGACTAAGTCAAATATGAAAGTAAGTTGCCATCAGCTCACTCTGACTGACTGCCACGCCTCCCTCTGACGCCCTTTTAACACAGTCCCGCTCTCACTCTCCCTCTCTCTCTCTCTCTCTCTCTCTCTCTTGCCATCACAGGCAGCGATCCCCAAAGGGCAAGGAAGCAGGACAATTTGATTTATTGCCACTTAAAAGGCAACATTCAGTTTTCTTTATTCTTTTTTTTTTGTTCTCTTTGCAAGAGCATGAGCCATGGACCATGCCTGTGGGGTATGCTGTGCGGTGAGGGGCGGCGGGAAATAAATAACACGTTTACACATCCAAATGAAGCTGCCATAGAGCTGGGTGAAGGGTGCTTGTGTGGGTGGCTGTTGGGCTGTTTGCCTGTGCGGTTCTCCCAAAAGTTGTTGAGACTTACAATGGCGACGAGATTGTTAATAAGAATGCATATATTATGCCAACACCCAACATGTGTGCCCAAGCTACCACTCAACCATCCCACCCACCACCCCCGCCAACAACCAACACCGCCAATTAATCGTCAGAGCGGGCCGACGTAAGCGCCACTCGAAGGAAAGCAAGAGAGAGAGAGAGAGAGAATGGCAGAGAGAAGCGTGGGGGTGGGGCGCCATTCGAACGAGTCGTGAATCGAAAAAGTGAGCCAGCACAACATCCACTCGATTGGCACTTGCTGCTCTGCCTAGTGCACTGCTTGTCGTTGAGGCAAAGCGCACTGCTTATCCATCGATTAACCGCTAGCATTTGCCCCTCAGCTCCCACCCATTCCGCTTTGTGGATGCAGGTGGCCTATGGCTTGTTCCGCTTTTTGGCACATTTTCGATGCGACATTTGCGAGAGCTGTTAATGGGGAATGGAAACTGTCTCTCATTCATATTAAATACTACATAAATATCTGTACCTTAGCGGTTATTTGTCAAATTTCACATTTTTTCTTCATCTGTCATCTACATCTACATCACTTCTCACGCCAACACGCTCCGTTAGCTCGCCCCCCTCCCCTAGAGCCAAACACAGCAGAGTCTCGGCAGATGCAGAGAATGGGAAAAGATCAACAAAAGCTGCTGGACAGGGTGGGTTTAGCCACTGAAAATGAATTTCTTCATTCTGGCTATAATAATGAACCAATCGGATCCCAATTCGATGTTCTGATAGATATGATTATTCTCTACGAAACGGCGTTTTTAGTTTTCCTTTATCTTCAAAATTGTAGGAAGCGTGGCTCATTTTTACGATACACTCAATACACTTGTAACCGTGTGAGCATACAGAAGTCTGGATGCAAAATTTGGTGGCCCTAGCTTTTATGATCTCTGAGATCCAGGCGCTCAACAAGACGGACGGACAGACGGACGGACGGACGGACAGACAGACATGGCTAAAGAATATATATACTTTATGGGGTCGGAAACGCTTCCTTCTGTGTGTTACATACATTCACTTTGTGCACAAATACAATATACCCTCTTCGAGTACCGGCTGTAATCATCAAAACGAATTTTCGTTTACGAGCAATACATGTGGGGTCCCAGGCCCAGGCCTGGCCCAGACGAATGTTGTCATTCTGGCACTTTAAGAGGCTGCAAAACGGACAAGGACATTCCAACTCGAACCACTTAGTGGTACCCCACAAAACCCAGACATGCGCACCCGAGGAGGCCGTGGCGATCATTTCAACAGGTTCTGTCTGTCACGCGGAAATGGACACCAATACAATATGAATCAAGAACGTGGACGTGGACGTGGATGTGGACGTGGCCGTGGGCGTGCAGAAGCACCTGCAGAGCCGCCTGTCATTGAACCGAAACCGACCGACAGTGCCATTTGTTGGCGTTAACATCGAGAAGGAGAAGAAAGACGCTCAAGCTGCACCGAAGCCTCTCGAAAAGCCAGCGGAGAGCAGCGACAAGAAAAGCCTATCCCAGGAGAATGTCACTGGCCTGGGCCCTCTGGAGCGTCACTACACTATAACCGATACCGATGAGGAGAGCAGTGAGGCGGACGAGGACGGGGTTGAGCAGCAGAAATCCACGTTTTCATTTTGGTTCGATTTTGGGCTGTTAGCGACACGTTAAACGCTGTTCTTCCATTCGTTAAAGAGGACGAAATCAATGTCTTTGTTTAGAGTTTTTGTTTGCGTTTTTATTTCCCACACATCCTTTAACTGCTCGGCCCAGTATCATAGCCTCAAGGACTGTCCAAAGCCACCGAACATGAACGTTGCTCTGCAGTCATATTGGGAGCAGATGGCCATGCAGCAGAAGGCCATGTTCAATGTGGAGCAGCAACGCTTTGCCGTGCCAGCACTGTCAACCACCACACTCTCGTCCGCTCCTGGCAAGTCGAAGAAGGAGAAAAAGACTCCCAAGAAGAACGCCACAGAAGAAAATGAAGGTGTAAAAATCTTCAAAAATAAAAGCAATGATCCAAACATATCTGAAATATCAGTTCCAAAATGCTCCACCATAGCGAAAAGAAAAATGTTGAACATCACAGGCTCCAGTCGAAGCAAAAACAATGTCAATCTGTGTCGGAGATCTCAACGTAATTTTGCAGATTATAGATGCCGGGAATGTTCAATCTAGTTATCTAGCTTTTCCGTTCTTGTACAGACAGATACTAAAATTATAAGTAATTATTTTTATCTACGTTAAAACAGAAATTTGTTAGAACTTTCAGGTATGATAGCTATCACTTGGCTTTGTTGGCTAAAAGCCGAAAAAGTTGGTAGCTATCATAGCTGACTGGTCGACAACGTACACAACTATCATAAATAATTTTGTGTAGTGCACACATTTATTAGATTCAAACTGTGTTGTACTTATTGGTTAAGTTGAGGGGAGTGTGTCCTATAATGTTTGCCTATGTTTCCCATTTGGCCAAAACATACAAATGTTGTGTACCCTGGGTTCGTGGGTCGCTGGTCGTTTCACGTGGTTTCATGTGAGTCTGTCACTATTTTCTATACACGGACAATGTATACAGAAACGTTTTTCCAAAAACATATGTAGAACGTTGGAAATTGAGGATAGACAAAGGACAAACCACTCTGTGCCGCACCTGGAAGGATGGTTGAGGCCGCGTGGATTGACGACTGGCTTGAGCATGGTCTGTTGCAGATCCGTGATGACCTCACTGACCTCACCTCACATCACGCTAACGGCCGCTTGATTATCAGTTCAGCAGATTGGCCGCATAGCTGAGAATGCCACGGGCTATTTGTTGGAGCAGATACTCGCGGTCCAGCTCGAACAGCTCCTCCCTCACGTCCATCATGCGATTCTCAAAGTGACACTGAATGGCCGCAAAGACTAGTCTTGTCCAGGCCGACCTGGCAGCAGACGCCAATGGTGCTGGCCACACCGCTGAAGGAAGTTATTTTGCGGAATGCAGGGCTTGGCCACCGTGGCCACGCGTCGCTCCCTTCCGCGGTTAAATGAATGCTCCAATTAGGCGAGCAGCAGAAAGTGCTCCACCCCCCCGCGGCAGCTGTGCCACATCTGCGATCCCACCCAGTTCCCGCCAATCAATTGGTTGCAAGCTTTTGTTTTTTATTTTCACACTCGCATAAGTATGAAGTTTTGCCGTGGGCACAACTCATTAAAATGCAGACAAATCAAATTTTCATTTCCATTTGCCATTTTTCACCATTTTTGTGTCTGGCTGTGTGTGTGTGCCTTGCTTGGCATGCATCAGTAGCAACAAAAATAGCTAAAGTTATTAAAACAATATAATTTGTGCATAAAGTCGGGCTTTAATTAACATTTCGCCATTGGACACAATCGCCACACATCGCGGCGCGGCCACAGCAAATTGATTCCCCTTGATTGGCCAAATCCCCAAACGAGCCACGGTCTCCTACTGCTACTCTTCCACCACTTGATGCCATTCAATTGAAGCCACATATCCAGACCCCAATGAACCCTAGAGGAAAAGGCGCATTTACCAGAGTGTTCCAGTTCCCGATCCCGATCCCACACTGTGGTTTCAATTTATGAGTTATTCAGTAGACAAACTAAACCGATGCGAAGACAACAGCCGATTATTCGTGCCAAAGAAAAGTCCACTAGGCAAACTAGAACTACTAATTCTATGACTTTTTATTAGGTTTCCTAGCGCACGAGCACTGATAGCAAAAGGGATACACACAAGGGATACATATATTCTGAATGGTTGTATTTCTATCTGCATCTGGATCAGTTTCTGTTGCTTGTATCTGCATTTATCTGTGTTATTTGGAGTGTTTTTCCTTCTTGTGGGCTCATTAAGCGTTGTGGTTGGTATCTGCTCCAGGTAGTTCCCACACATATTCTCCCTTTACGTGTCCTCTGTGGGCTCAGCATTCACTCGATGATGCGGTGATTGCAGATCAGGCGGTATAGTCCTATCAACAAGTTGTCCGCCTCCTGGATGGTCATGGCATACACGTAGACACGCCCATGGTCATGCAGCTTCGCCACCACGCCTGGTATTTCACTGGTCACATAATACACATACTGCGAAGAGACATAATCGCGGCACGTCTGGGTGGACAGCACATAGCGTTCGCCGAACTTCTTTAGATCGATATTGAAGCCAAAATTGGCCGTGGACCGCAAGCGCAGGTACTGCGCGTTGTGCCCTGGAGCCGCTTTAAAGTGGGGAACATTCAATATGGGGGCCAGTAGTTTCTCCTGCACATCGATCAAATCTCTTTTGTCTTCGTGACAGCCATTGATGGTAGTTAGGGTGCCATTTGGCCAGAGCCACGATATCCGACATAGCTCCGAGTACTGGTGATGATTCTGGTACTTTTGCAGGACATCGATGTGATTCTTGTAGAGGCTGCCGAATCGTTGCAGTTTGCTGGCCGCCGACTTGAGATCGATTGTCTGGTTCAAGTGCAGCGTGCAAAAATGTCTGGAATACTTCAATTCAATCCGAAAGGTCAGGGTTTCCAAGGTCTTCCTTTTCCGTTGCGACATTATATTAAACCTGAGNACACTATAACCGATACCGATGAGGAGAGCAGTGAGGCGGACGAGGACGGGGTTGAGCAGCAGAAATCCAGCAAAAGTAAAACCAAGCTAAAACCCGACAATCGCTGTGCAATTTGCGACAAGAAGGTAAGCAATTTCTCCTGCTTTAGTTACAGAAACAAATCTCATTTTGTTTGCGTTTTTATTTCCCACACATCCTTCGAGCGCCAGATGATCTGCATTAAGTGCTCGGCCCAGTATCATAGCCTCAAGGACTGTCCAAAGCCACCGAACATGAACGTTGCTCTGCAGTCATATTGGGAGCAGATGGCCATGCAGCAGAAGGCCATGTTCAATGTGGAGCAGCAACGCTTTGCCGTGCCAGCACTGTCAACCACCACACTCTCGTCCGCGCCTGGCAAGTCGAAGAAGGAGAAAAAGACTCCCAAGAAGACCAAGAAAACGCCACAGAAGAAAATGAAGATGTAAAAATCTTCAAAAATAAAAGCAATGATCCAAACATATCTGAAATATCAGTTCCAAAATGCTCCACCATAGCGAAAAGAAAAATGTTGAACATCTCAGGCTCCAGTCGAAGCAAAAACAATGTCAATCTGTGTCGGAGATCTCAACGTAATTTTGCAGATAATAGATGCCGGGAATGTTTTTAGATCAATAGATCGAAAAGGCAAGAACATGTCTGTCTATGATTTTAATATTCATTAATAAAAATAGATGCAATTTTGTCTTTAAACAATCTTGAAAGTCCATACTATCGATAGTGAACCGAAACAACCGATTTTCGGCTTTTTCAACCATCGATAGTATCGACTGACCAGCTGTTGCATGTGTTGATAGTATTTANTCCATTTGGCTGTGCCACGTAGTCGAGGGGTTCGAACTCGTCTGTGCTGCTAGAATGTTCCATTTTGTCTGAATATGCTTTCCGGAATTTGATTGATATTTGTTTCTCTTACCTTTGGGTTGCCACTTGCTCGGCCATCTCAATGTCCTCGACTTGCCCTCGACTTCCTTTATTTTTCCCGATCTTATTGCTCATCTTGATTTCTTGTTTTATTTGCTTCGCGACTCAAATGAAAACTAATGACAAGCGAAACGTGCGGATATTTTTGAATAAAATAAAACAAAAATTCCGAAGCAAAACAAAATAAATATTTAGATCTGTTCTCGACGAGTTACAAAATTGGAATGAACTGAATCCTGGCTTTGCCTACGACCCCAACAATATCACAAGTCCGGAGCCTACTTAGATGGGGAATTTTTGTGTGTTTTTCATAAGGAAGTGGTTTTTTGTATAACCCTTAGTCGAAGAGTAAATAGGGGATATTGCATTTGTGGGGAGTACGGCACAGAAGGAAACGTTTCCGACCCCATAAAGTATATATATTCTTGATCAGCATCAATAGCCGAGTCGATTGAGCCATGTCTGTCTGTCCGTCTGTCTGTCCGTCCGTCCGTCCGTCTTGTTGAGCGCCTGGATCTCAGAAACCATAAAAGCTAGAGCCACAAAATTTTGCATCCAGACTTCTGTATGCTCACACTCGTTCAAGTGTATTTCAAAAATAAGCCGCAAAAGGTCGAAAACCTCCCAAAAATACAATTTTGAAGATACAAAAAAACTAAAAACGCCATTCCGTAGGGAATGGCCATATCTATCAGATTGGATCATTATTATAGCCAAAGTGAAGAATTTAATTTTCAGTTTCTCTCATTCACACTCTGCTTCTGCTTCACTCGGTCTCTGCCTCTGCCCTCCCCCTGCCGACGCCTCTGCCGACTTTTAACCCACCCCGTCCCGCAGCTTATATTTGCCCTCTGCCTCTGCCGCGAGTCTGCAGTTTGTTTTTCTAGGGAACGGGGCCGAGCTAAAGGAGCGTGTTGGCGTGAGAAGTTTTGTAGATGTAGATGACAGATGAGGACAAAATGTTAAATTTGACAAGACACCGCTAAGGTGCAGATGTAGTACTGAGTACCGGGTATAAAACTATACGTATAAAAAAAACTTTTTCAAAAATTAGTTTTTACTACGAACTGATACATATTGAAGGCCTCACTTTGACATACAATTACGAATACATCGCCAACTACTAGAGACCGTTCACAGTACGAAACACGTAGTAAAAACCGTTCTGAATAAAATGCATCCGAAAAGTTGGATTAGTTAATCGTATTTTTCAATTTATGAGATATTTAAAACAGAAATAAAATTGGTACTTTTTCCCTGCACATTCTGTGCAGTAATGGCCGCTGGGTTTCACAGCTGATTTTGCGAAGGTGGCGCCATCTATGCACATTTCTGGTACGCAACTTTGATGGTCACTCTTTTTCTAATACCGTGGCCTGGACTCCACCACGCACATTGAGCGGTGACGTTTCGGTTGTACTATAAGAAGAATCTATGCTGTGTGGTTAGTGAAAATTGGAAAGGGGCTGGGGATAGATGAACGTTTCACCCGATATTTCAATAGAAAATTCCATCGATAGTTTGTTGGCATCGACCATCTCCAAGCAGCACAAAACGTTCGCCGGTGACATTTGGTAGACGAATGTTGTCATTCTGGCACTTTAAGAGGCTGCAAAACGGACAAGGACATTCCAACTCGAACCACTTAGTGGTACCCCACAAAACCCAGACATGCGCACCCGAGGAGGCCGTGGCGATCATTTCAACAGGTTCTGTCTGTCACGCGGAAATGGACACCAATACAATATGAATCAAGAACGTGGACGTGGACGTGGACATGGCCGTGGGCGTGCAGAAGCACCTGCAGAGCCGCCTGTCATTGAACCGAAACCGATCGACAGTGCCATTTGTTGGCGTTAACATCGAGAAGGAGAAGAAAGACGCTCAAGCTGCACCGAAGCCTCTTGAAAAGCCAGCGGAGAGCAGCGACAAGAAAAGGCTGTCCCAGGAGGATGTCATTGGCCTGGGCCCTCTGGAGCGTCACTACACTATAACCGATACCGATGAGGAGAGCAGTGAGGCGGACGAGGACGGGGTTGAGCAGCAGAAATCCAGCAAAAGTAAATGGTTCGATTTTGGGCTGTTAGCGACACGTTAAACGCTGTTCTTCCATTCGTTAAAGAGGACGAAATCAATGTCTTTGTTTAGAGTAAAACAATGCGTTTTTATTTCCCACACATCCTTCGAGCGCCAGATGATCTGCATTAAGTGCTCGGCCCAGTATCATAGCCTCAAGGACTGTCCAAAGCCACCGAACATGAACGATGCTCTGCAGTCATATTGGGAGCAGATGGCCATGCAGCAGAAGGCCATGTTCAATGTGGAGCAGCAACGCTTTGCCGTGCCAGCACTGTCAACCACCACACTCTCGTCCGCGCCTGGCAAGTCGAAGAAGGAGAAAAAGACTCCCAAGAAGACCAAGAAAACGCCACAGAAGAAAATGAAGCTGGAGGCCGCCGATGATGACGAGGACGACGACGATGAGGAGGCAGGCGACGGCGATAGCGAAGATTCTGAACCAGTACCCGTCTGGAAGCAAAAGCGAAAACGGAATACAGAGCAGACAAAACCGCAGACTGCCACAAATTTACCACCACAAGCGATTCCATTTCCCACGATGGCCGCTAGCGCAACTTACAACTCCATGATGTATCCATATGGCACTCCCTTCCGCTTTCCCTTTAGCTTTCCTAAACCATAAGATTTTGGGGGATATTCCCGGCGCAGTGCTGTAAAAATCTTCAAAAATAAAAGCAATGATCCAAACATATCTAAAATATCAGTTCCAAAATGCTCCACCATAGCGAAAAGAAAAATGTTGAACATCTCAGGCTACCAGAAACATAAAAAAATGAAAAAATGGGTCGCAAAAAAAATCAGGGATGATATTCGTATGGAACCGATACAAAAATTTGGTGCGCACAAGCTACTTTCTAGCGGCTTTACGCCAGGCAAAAAAACCAAGCGGAAAAAATCTAAAAAGTCAGACGATGCTATTTTGTGGAATCGACAGTATTTGTGTGGTATTCGTTGGTATGTTGCTAGCAGCTCGAAAAATAAATATTTGCTTTAATTTCCGAGACGGTACCCAGCAAACAGAGAGTAAAGTCTCAATCAAATGGAGGCAACAATGCAGCTGAAGTTGAAAGATAAATTACCACCGTGCTTCTAAACGAGATTAAGGCCATCAAACGGCAAAAAAGGGAAACAATTATTGTAGATCAAAAAGATTATACTGAATTTATTTGCCTTTCTAATATGTTTAACTTATTTGAACGCTAGTATCTTCATGTTGCCAAGACACAGACCCGGCTGGGCTGTTAACAAAATGTTTTAAGTCGTTTTCTTTTTGGGACCAAGTACTACTCCACAAGGTCATGCCAAGGGGCGATGGCGACAATCTGGGCTCGAAACGATCCAATGTTGAATAGGAAGGGTGCCGTGAGGCGCCGTTTTACAACTTTGCAACGGGCGCAAATATTCCTTGTCACGGCCTTGCTGCTCCACCAATCAAAGAAATCTGCAGATGTTATTCCCAGCCATATGCAAATTCTCTGTCATATTTTCAAACTGCGGAATATGCAAGGGTATCGTTTCATGGGTTTCCATAAATGAACACATATTTATAGGATATACAATACTCAAATGTATAGACAACGACCCTCCTGGTTTCTTTCCTGCAGATATGGTTTTAATCAAAGTTGTCGTCGCTTATTTCGTTGATTGTCCTCCTCCTCCGATCATGCAAGAGCCGCCAGTCTCACTAAATCCATTTTGCATTCATTCTTTTATTAACCTTTTATTCAATCTTCACACATTTTCAAAAATCTGAGTTGAGATCTCAAAGATCTGAGTACTAGGCTAAAGCAAAAACAATGTCAATCTGTGTTGGAGATCTCAACGTAATTTTGCAGATTATAGGCTGGTATCCAGCAATACAAAAACAACAAATTTCTGCCAAACTTCATATAAAGACGAAAAGGGACGTGCGAGACGCTTCTTAAGCGTCACAACTTGTATACCCGGTACTC